CAACTCAGTCTGGCTGAGGTGCGACACCTGTAGGGCAACATCCTTCCACTCTTGCACTGTGGTGGTCAACGCCTTTTTCCCGAAGAATTCCTGCTGCTTGGCTTCTGTCAGGCTCTGGACCATAGCACGAAAGCCCGCCAGACATTTCACCGCCTCTGGGGGGTCTCTGCCTGAGCGCGTCAAGGCTACGCCTCGAGCCAGCAGTGTGGATGCGATCCCCCACCATTCTGCAACAGGGTCGCACATGTGAGGTCGACCTGGAGCTGGGCGCATCTTCTTCCAGGAAATTGAGTAGCCTTGCCCTCTGCCAAGAAACACAGCTGGGTCCTCTACATCGCTGACCGCCACAATGGACCGCTCCAATGTGGTGACCCATCGCCCATATCTGTCATCCAAGGTGGAGCGTTGAGCAGGCCTCCAGGTCGCCAGGGGGCCTGTCGCCAACTGCTCTGCTGCTGTACGTGGTCTGAATGTATCCTGCTCCACTTCTCCGTAGATCTTGCGCCATTCTGCCTGCTCCACCTTGAACGTAACCTTGGGGCCTTCTGGCGGTGGCTCCTGAGAAGGCAGGTCATCGAAAGCCTCGCGTAGCTCTTCAGGAAGTTCCTGTCTGCGTGCATCTGCCACCTGCTTGCGTTTCATAGATCGCTTGCTGTCTGGGTTTGGCTCCTGCTGAGGTCGGTTGGCCCTGGGTAGCGGTTCCGGAAGCTCCAGCGACCTATGCCACCAAGTCCTCTTGGCGTCCAGCACGTCAACGGCAAAAGGCACAATGCGTCTTCCAGGGTACCGCTACAACCTGCCTGAGCCTGATGCGGTCCGAAGTAAGCTGCTTAGAGACAATCGCATAATCATACATTCGTCCCTGGCCCTTGTCGCATGTGAACTTGCAGTTCGGCAGCGCAAGCCGACCTCTGAGTCTTTCCACCCATCCACTATCCAACAGGGTCTGCGGTTCATTGTTCCAGTCCGCGACAATCACCCAGAGATCTGCCAAAGCTTTGGTAAAAGCGCCCAAAGCCACCAACACCTCATTGTTGTACTGCGAAGTCCCCAGTGACGGTAGCAAGTACGCTGCAATGTAAACAAGGTTGCCAGACTTGAGATGCAGCGTCGTGGCCGAGAAGCCTTTGAAGGGATCCATGCGCGAGTCAGCAATCGCCTGGTCCCTCAATCGATCGAACTGCGTAGCTGCCAAGTGACATCGAGTGAGAAGCCACTCACCTGCAGAGATGCCTGAGTCCGACTTCCCTGAAGCAAAGCCTGCCTTGAAGGAGAGCCTCCACCCATCCTTCCTGAGCTCCTCAGTCCAGTGGGCGCACTTGGTGTCGGGGACATGCGTCTCGACCAGCCCTACGATGGAGTAGGTGTGCTTGTGACTGTTCACAAAGCTGCGAACCTTGGCGCCCCACTCGGTGATGTTCGCGAAGAGCATCGTCACATGCTTGTCGGACGTGCGGTGCTGTAGTACAGCTGGCTCTTCGTGTGTGGGCGCATTGTCTCCAGCGTGGATCTGTCTGCCTCGTTGCGTTTCTGACGCCACATTACAAACCCGAGGAAGGGCGGCATCCAGCAAAGGCAGACTCGACGAGGAGTTCCCCGAGACACCCAAGAGCGCGGCCTCAGGGCCTCCAAGAGACACCTCCCGAGACGGGGCAGGGCTGGAGCTTATGGCGTCTGGCCTGCATCCTATGTTAGACTCCACCGTACAGAGCTCCCCTTCGTTCCCGAACTGGTCGTCGAGGTAGGCGAAGGGGTCAGCATCAGGATCGTCCAAATCATCACACCGTGCTCGACCTCCTTCCTCAGGTAGGGGAGCAAACCGATGGACTTCAGGAGCCTCAGAAGCCTGATGTTGCATGGCATGTGTATTCGTACTGTGATTGGCCTGTCCCAAACTGGTCTCCGCATCCGCCAATATCACCAGGCTAGCGATGCACGCATCTACGTCTGCCTGATCATCACCAGGGTCAGGCTGTCTGGGGCGAGGAAGCCGAACCGTAGGGAAATCCGAGCCCAAAAGCCTCCTGAACATGGCTCTCAGCTCCTCCAAGCGCTCCCAGTGGCGGCGCTGCATCTGAACACGGCTCTCAAAAGGCGCCGCGCGTAGCCTATCAAGGAAAGCCACTCGCCTGGGCTCAGACTGTCTCCATGCCAATTCACATAATTCTTCCATGACTGATTGTAAGGTGCGACCTGGAAACCAGGCCTGCAACAAGCGGCGCAAGGGCTCGTTCCCTTGTCGCTCCAGGATCGTGTGCAGAAGCGCCTCGCACCAAAGCCGCCAGTCCGCACTGCCAGCGTACAGCCCACGATGTAAGTCAAACCAAGCCGCTGCCCAATCTCTGAGATCCGCACGCATGTCAGCATAGTCCTGTACTGCCATCGCTCTGGTCTCGTCAGCAGGCGGCAGGCCCATGGCCTGTGGTGTATCGGTTGCAGTCACCACTTCACCAATGCTACCTGCGTCACCAGATAGGCGAGTCCAGCAAACTCCTGAGCCCCCACCCACACGCGCTGAGACCCCCGCCTCCTGTGGAGAGGGTGCCCTGGCGGGTGGAAAGCCCAGGTGCGACTGTGAACCTGCACTGCTCTGGGCAGCCCAGGATTTGCGCTCTGACGACTGAAATCCTCCAGCAGGTTGAGGACCTGATTGCGTGGAGAGGGATGCATCAGGAAGAACGTGGCTCCACATAGTGCCCGTGGCGCCAATGGCGCCCGACTGACTCGCCCACGCCGTAGCCGTACTGCTCACAGTCCCCGACGGCCTGGAACACGGTGCACACGTAGAAGGGGTCCCCGTCATCTCAACCGACATCGAAGGAGGGGCCCACTGCATCATATCCCGAACCTTCCGTATTGTGTCCAGCGCTTCGTAGTAGAACATGTCAGACCGCATAGCTCGACCAGAGGGAGCACATGCATGTGTGAGAACGCCGGAAGTACATCCAAATGGAATATCCGTGCCGGGAGGAGGAGGTGGAGGGGGGGGGAGGAGGAGGAGGAGGACGAGGAGGAGGAGGGGGAGGAGGAAAGGGCCAGTGCAAACCAAAATTTTGTAAACAAGATGTTGGAAGAACTCTCCCTCGAAGCTCCCTCTTCATGGGCCCCTACAATGATTCATTTCCACTGATGAAACAGGCCCGTTGGGAGACAACCGTATAAAAACTCCGGAAGCGAACCAATACACAATTCTCAGGACTTCAACGCCACGAATCAACCTGACTGTTGCGTCTTGACGTTCCTGACGTTCCTGGGTCACTCCAGAACGAATTCCTGGGACTCCAACACCGCGAATCAACTTAACTGCTGCGCCCTGGCAATCCTGAGCTATTCCAAAACACCGTTTCTAGTGCGTTATCCGTTCGAATTCGCTCAACTCGTGCACGTGTTTAAAGCGAATGTGCGCGGCGCTAGGGCGAGGGCCACGTTTTGGAAAGGAGCCCCCCTCAAAACGTGGAACTCTTTCTAAGGCGAGAACCACATATTGAAAACCACCTGTCCTCAATCCATGAAAGTATTGCACATGTTTAAGACGAATGTGCGTGGCGCTAAGGCGAAAACCACATGTTGATAACGGCCCGCACTCCATCCGTGAAACTGTTGTCAATGTGTACGTAAGCTTGAAGCTCACAAGTTGCAAGAACGTCTCAAGCGAAACGCCCCTCCCGCCCTTCCGACTGGCCTCGGGGTGCGACAAGGAGGAGTTACTCATAAGGAATAAGAGTGGAGGAGGAGGATAAGAAGGCGAGGGCCCCAATTCAGCCGAACAGAACGGTCCGCAGCTCGAAGCTGGAAGGAGGAGGAGGAGGAGGAGGAGGAGGAGGAGGAGGGGAGGCGACGGTTGAGCAACATCAATTCCATTAGCTCGCAGCTCGCAGGAAGAGGAGCAGAAGGAGGAGGAGGAGGAAGTGAGTGAAGAGGAGAAGGGTGATGATGATGATGATGAGGAGGAGGAGGAGGAGCAGGGGGAGGGAAGAAACGATAAACAAATGGCGCCGCATGGGCTTGTGCCCAGACGGCCCCCCGAAAAGGTCCCGGCTGGCCTTAACAGGCCCTCCAGGGTAGTCTGGGCCGGCTTCCACACCCTGGCGCCGCTTTCTGCGGCGCCCCTCCCAGGGCGTCCGGGCCCCCTGGGGTCGGGGTTCCGAAACGGCCCCAGACTGACACGTCGGGCCTGCCAGCCAGAGATTCCTCCCAGGTTCGTCTCTGTGCTGAGGCAGGACGGGGTGCAGCCGAAATCTATAAGGGCGGACGGCAAGAATGCAAGAGCCTTGGACGCCGAAAGTGGCACTCTCCAGGCGGCCGGCTGCCAACACCCAGAAGGGCTGGCCAGTGAGAACCGCGAAGGACGGGCCGCAGAGGCAAGGATTCAAAGATACCCTACGGACATCCATCCGCACATCCTTACTGTGAGTTCTGGACTGTATATGGGTTTGAGGCCAGTCCGTGCGCAATCCTGCAGATTGCAGGTGGGGAATACTTCAGTCCTTCATCCGACGACGAGGACTGCCGAGTAACTGCCGCTTGCGCGGGCGCTGCGCGTGTGAGTCGTGCGCGACGACGGCGCGACGACGTGGAGTGCAGAGCAAACGTCGCCGAAGAGGGGGGGAAAAGGAGGGGGGGGGGGGGGGGCAAGCGCCGTGTACAGGCACGTGCTCCAGAAACGCCACGTGCTCCAGAAACGCCTGGTGCGGCACGTGCGCCAGGGAGAGACATGAACGCAGAACTCATGGATAGTTGCTCGTGCTCCTCTGTAGAAGCCAATGAGCTGTGCAACATGGAAGCCATCTCTCGCGCAGGGGAGCCCGTGCCCAGCCTATCCGACGGGGAGGGACATACCAAGGACAGGGGAAGGGCGAATAGATCCCAGACAAGGGAACTCCAACTAGGGGCGCGTTGACTCGAACAAGTCGAGCCGTCAGGTGTGGAGGAGGAGGCGGTTGAAAAAACGGTGAGGAGAATGATGACGGGACGAAATGGGGACATGGGGGAGAGATCACCTCCATCGCCATCGCGCCCTTCATGCCGTTGCCCGGCTGGTAGCGCAGGATGCCGAAAGGGCGCTTCTTGTCCGACGCCGCTCTGTGCTGCGGCTTTTGCGCGTCGGGACCCCCTTGCTCTTCTTTTGCTTACCGGCCCCTCTCGCTGAGAAGGATTCGAAGAACGAGGTTCGAGGAAGAAGTGTGGGGATGGAAATGGGCTCTCGAACAGCAGATTCGAGAACATACGTTGTTTGCGTTCTGGCAATTTTGCGCACTCTGGGGGGTCTCTGGTTTCGTCGGCGACTCCTGTGGGCCTCCATGCCCCACTTGCTCGTTTGTCAACTTTGGCCCCCCCGCTCGAAAGCTGGGCGAGAGCTGCCAAAACCGTAGCTGCTAAAACGGCCCTCCCGGAAAGAAAAAACAACTTCCCAGAATGAAGCGCGGCACGCGAAACAGTCAACGGGTTTAGCAGCCCTTGCCCGGCTTCCGACCCGCGATGCCGCGGCCCATGCAACAGATGCAGATGCACACGGCGTTTCGTCGTCAACATTTTCGGCCTGCGAGGGCCTGCAAAGACCGACGCAAACTGAAAGGGCCCAGGGGCACGCAGAAACGCAGGGTTCCCCATGTTTTCAACATTTGCGGGAAGGTCGTCTTCCTCTCCACTTCCCAAGTGTTCCGTACGTTCATTCGATTCGGCGAGTAGTTGTGTACAGTCGGGGCGCTGACCTAAGGAACCCGACACAAGGAACGAGGCCCTTTTTCCCAGACGCTGGATTTCGACTTCCCGTGGGATAACCTTGGGGAAACCTTAGGCAAACTGCACAACAATCAAAGAACACCGAGCCCCTCCCCAACGAAAAGGGTTCCTTCTTCAGCGCCCCGACTGTATGTTTGTGTTTCTAGAGGCCTCCTAGATGGGGTCGGAGTAGATGGGGTTGGAGGATCGCGCCGCATCGCCGATACGACGGCCGATGCATCGGCGATGCATCGGCGATGCACTGGCGATGCATGGTCGACGTCGGCGATACATCCGAGACCTCGGCGTGGAGAAAATCGGGCCCCACGGCGAGCCGCGTCGCCGATACGTCGGCGATGCGGCGCGATCCTCCGACCCCCACCTCCTCCGACCCCATCCGGGAGGCCTGGAGTTTCTCTCCCGAGCGAGGGCCGCCGAAACGCCGATCCGTGGCGCTCCGCCGAGGTGCTGGCGACCCGAAGACAGCGAGCCGTCGGCCTGTCGGCGGCGCGAGGCTCTCGCGCAGCGGAGGGGGAGGAGGAGGACGAGGAGGAGGAGGAGGAGGAGGAGGAGGAGGGAAAAGAGGAGGGGGAGGAAGATGAGGGGGAGGAGGAGGAGGAGGAGAAGGAGGAGAAGGAGGAGGAGGAGGAGGAAAAAAGAGGAGGGGCAGGAGGAGGGGGAGGAGGAGGAGGAGGAGGAGGAGGAGGAGGAGGAGGAGGAAGGACGAAGAGGAGAGAGGAGCTCGAAAAGCTCTGTGTCCTCGCGGAAGGCCAAGAGAACTTCCCAGAAGGCGGGGGGGCCTTCCGAACCTTCTGAGCAGGCCTTCCCCTTCTCACTTCCCCCCTTCTCACTTCGCCGCCGAAACAAACTGAGCGCGAGTCTGAGGCATCCTGGGCCTGCACATACTTGAGATCATACCCATCCTGAGGTGGTGCATCACAAGCTGCACGGCTCGAGCACGGCGTCCCGAGCGAGAGCGAGGCGACCGAAAGCGTCAGCACGTGCAGCAGCTGCACGGACGGAGGGCGGCTCCTCGTCAGGTCGAGGCTCCTCGCCCGATCCTCCTCCTCCTCCTCCTCCTCCTCCTCCTCCTCCTTATCATCATCCTCCGCCTCCTCCTCGCCTGAGACCCCCCGAGCTCACGACCAGGCGGGCGGCGCTCGTGCAGCAGTGGCACGGGCGATGGGGGCGTGCGCTTCCACGGCGGGGCCTCGCTGGGCACCTCGTGGGCTTCTGTGGGCGTGCCTTGCCGCAGCCCTGCTCGCGCGCTGCAGGCTCCTCCTCCTCCTCCTCCTCCTCCTGCCCCTGCTCCTCCTCCTCCTCCTCCTTCTCCTCCTCCTGCCCCTGCTCCTCCTCCTCCTCCTCCTCCTCATCCTTCTCCTCCTTCTCCTCCTCCTCCTCCTCCTCCTCCTCCTCCTCCTGCTCCTGCTCGCAGAAGGGGGCGCTTTCTCCTGCATGGCAGGCCCACGGGACACGCCAGTCTCTCAAGGGGGGGCGCTGCCTGCAGCAAGACGAGATCGAGGGCAAACAATCCACCGCCGTGATAACCAGCCCCCGACACGCGAAGCGGCCGTTTACTAAACTCGCCCTCGCTAAGGACTCGAGCAAGGCAAGGCTGTTAAAAAAACCGCCCAAGGCCGTTCAATAAACGCCAAGTTTCTGGTTCGGGTGTTTTCTCCTCCCTTGACGAAAGGCCTGCAGGCACTGATGGGGCGGGGACTCTGGGCGGGAGGGCATGCTGCGCATCGCTGATGCATCTTGGGTCTACACTGGTCCTCCTCCTCGTCGTCGTCCTCCTCGTCCTCCCTGGACATTGGACCTGCGGACTGTCTCCCCGTGACAAGCGAAGCCCTTGACCCCTCCCCACATGACCAACGCCAGGGGTGGTAGTAAGAAAAACTAGAGGTAAAGGGAGACAGGCAGAGGGAAACTGATCAGATTGCTATGATGAGCGCAACCACTGGGGGGAAAGAGGAAGCTCCTCCTCCTCCTCCTCTTCCTCCTCCTCATCCTCATCCATCTCCTCCTCCTCCTCCTCCTCCTCTTCTTTCTCCTCCTCCTCCTACGAATCCTACGACTGTACAACTCTTCGCTCCTCCTCGCTCCTCCTCCACTTCCTCATACTCTTCCTCCCTCCACCTGCGCGCGGCGGCGGCGGTGCGCGCAGCGTGACAGGATAGCTGACGCTGGGGCCAGGGCCTGCTGGGAGGGCGCCAGCCACTGGAGACCCCCAAACGGGATCCCAGAGGCTGGGGTGAGGCCAGTGGATCAAATGTGGAATCCTCAGGGATGGGGTCCTGAGGACGAGGTGCCTCAACCATTGTAAATACACGCTTGGGCCCCTTCCTATCCGTAGGGCACCATCCCTCAAGACCCCATGTATGAACTACCGAAAAAGATCGGGCCGCAGCGCCAATGCATACCCAATGCGTCGGCGATGCCTCGACGCCGTCGGTGTGGAGAAAAACAGGCTGCACATCGAGCCGCATCGCCAGCGGGGAGAAACCAGTAAGCATCTATACCGCTACTCCACGGACCTGTCCTGGGGTGCGCTCTGACCAGAACTTCGAGGCGGATCCAGCGGTGGCGACGATGGCCTCCCAGGAGGCCCACAGAAAGGAAAACGAAGGAAGGGTGGAGAAGGGTAGAAGCACCGTGAAGTTTTCCTCCTCCTCTGAGCATCTTGCCGTCGCTCGGACGTCCACTTCTTTCGGTCTCGTGCGTGTTTTTTCTGCTCGATGGTCCAGGATGGTCCTCGATGGCTCTCGCAAAGAAAAAATGCTCACGTCCGAGCGATGCCAGGCGTAACTCTTTTTCAGTGCACGCCCCCAAGGAAAATCCTCGCCCCTTCCCCAGGGTTCGTTTCGGCGGCGCGTCCAGGGGGCAAGTGAGATCGTCGACCCTGGGGGGCGAGGAGGAGGAAGAGGAGGAGGAGGAGGAGGAGAAGGAGGAGGAGGAGGAGGAAGAGGAGGAGGAGGATCAAGGAGGAGGAGGAGGAGGAGATCAAGGAGGAGGAGGAGGAGGAGGAGGAGGAGGAGGAGGAGGAGGGAGGAGGGGGGGAGGGGGAGACTTTCAAAAACAAATGCACACGTCCGAGCGATGCCAAGGCGTCGGCGGTCTGCCTGGCTCTACCCCGACCGACCGTGCCTGCGCCCCGCGGCTCCCGGACTGGCCGGGGCCGGGACGCCCCCCCCCCCCCCCCCGCGGAGCCGCGGGCGGCCCGCGCGGTGCCGTGGCTCAGGCCCGCCCCCTGGCGCCCCCCGCGGTGCACGCCGCTTCGTCCCCGCGCTTTCGCAGCACCACCCCTCGAGGAGGAGGAGGAGGAGGAGGTGAAGGTGGAGGAGAAGGAGGTGGAGGTGCAGATGGAGGAGGAGGATGATCCAAGAGGATCGAGTAGTAGTAGTAGTAGTAGTAGGAGGAGGAGGAGGAGGAGGAGGAGGAGGTGGAGGAGGAAGGAGGCTCGAGTAGGCAAAAGGAGGAGGAGGTGGAGGAGGAGGAGAAAACGATTTTGTCGGTGTGTGCCACAAACTTATGTGCTGCCGCCCGCCTCGCTTTGCCACTGGGTTGCCTACCCTCCGCCGCCGTCTGGACCGAGGGAATCTCTCGAGCGCAAGGCGCCCAGAAAAACCCTCTCATGACATAGTCCTTTTGACATCAACATGTCAGCCGGTGAGAAGCTGCAGCTTTCTCAGAGGTGGAGGAGGAGGAGGAGGAGGAGGAGGAGGATTAAGGAGGAGGAGGAGATCAAGGAGGAGGAGGAGGAGGACGAGGATGACTGAGACGGAAGGTCGAGGATCGAGGAGGAGGACCGCGGAGGATTCGGTTCGGAGGGCCGTCGAGACCGGGTCAGTCCAGGGCACTGGTGAGCACATCATCTCTGCGGGAAGGGGGGGGGACCCGTGACTTGGGAGTGAGGCCCCCAGACACCCGACTGAGCACCTCGGCCCCCGCCCTGGTGGGCCCACGAGGCGGACATTCCGAGGGTCGAGGACCGAGGAGCAAGGTCGAAGATCCAGGAGGAGGAGGAGGAGGAGCAGGAGGAGGAGGAGCGAGGATCGAGGAGGAGGACCGAGGAGCAAGGTCGAGGATCGAGGAGGAGCAGGAGGAGGAGGAGGAGGAGGAGAAGGAGGAGGAGGAGGAGGAGGAGGAGGAGGAGGAGCGAGGAGGAGGAGCAGGAGGAGGAGGAGCGAGGATAAAGGAAAAGGAGGGCCCAGAGCGCGGTTCTCCTCGCGCCCTCCGCCAGCCCACCCCGCTGGCGCGCAAGTCCCGACCTCGAGCCGCGCCCGGCCACGGCCGGCGTCGGCGCACCCGAAGGCATCCACAAGTGTCCCTGCAGGCCTGGTTTCCAAAAAGGCTGCTGGGGCTCCGGTTTCGAAAGATGTCGCCAGGCCCCCTCGCGTTGTGAATACGGCGCGAGGCACCATTTGTGGATGTGTTTGGCCTCGGGGGGCCTCGCTGGGCCCCGGGACCGAGACCTCTGCGGGGTCCCCGCTGCAAATCAAGAAAATGACGTCGGGGGTCTAGGCCTGCAGCCCAGCGGAGCCCAGCGAGGGTGCTCGATATACCCCAGCGTCACTTGGGCCCGCAGGGGCAGGGTTCGCAGGAGGCCGCAAGGCAAGGTCCCAAGGACATCTGGTGACGTAACTCGCCGTCGCTCGGACGTCCATCACTCCTTGTGCATTTTTCGGTCTCGTGCGTGTGTTTTTTCTGCTCGATGGTCCAGGATGGTCCTCGATGGTTCCCGCCGAGAAAAAATGCACACCTCCGAGCGATACCAGGCGAAACTGTGTTTCAGCGCGCGCCCCCAGGGGGAATCCTTGCCCCTCCCCCAGGGTTCGTTTCGGCGGCGCGCCTGGGGGGCAATCGTCGACCCTGGGGGGAGGAGGAGGAGGAGGAGGAGGAGGAGGAGGAGGAGGAGGAAGAGGAGGAGGAAAAGGAGACGGAGAAGGAGGAGAAGGAGCAGAAGGAGGAGGAGGAGGAGGAGGAGGAGGAGGAGGAGGAGGAGGTGGAGGTGCAGGTGGAGGAGGAGGATGATCCAAGAGGATGAGGAGGAGAGGAGGAGGAGGATGAGGAAACAGGAGGAAGAGGAGGAGGAGGAGGAGGGAAGAGGAGGAGGAGGAGAGGGGAGGAGGAGGAGGCGGAGGAGGAGGAGGAGGAGGAGCAGGAGAAAGAGGAGGAAGGAGGAGGAGGAGGAGAAAGATGAGGAGGAGGGGGAGGAGGAGGAGAAGGAGGAGGAGGAGGAGAAGGAGGAGGAGGAGAGGAGGGCGAAGGAGAGGGAGGAGGAGGAGGAGGGAGGAACAGGAGGAGGAGGAGGAGGAGGTGAGGAGGAGGAGGAGGAGGAGGAGAAAGAGGAGGAGGAGGAGGAGGAGGAGGAGGAGGAGGAGGAGGAGGAGGAGGAGAAAGAGGAGGAAGGAGGAGGAGGAGGAGGAGGAGGAGGAGGAGGAGGAGGAGGAGGAGGAGGAGGAGGGGAGACTTTCTGAACCTTCCCCGAAGACACGGAAGACTTCTCAAAGGCGCGGGGGACCCGCCGCCTCCTGAGAAGGCATTTCTCCTTCTCGCTCCCCCCTCCCGCTCGCCGCCGATCGGTTCCCGTCTCCGCTCGGTTTTTCACGTGGCCCCAAGCGTAGGTCGGGCGTGTCTCCTACAGACAGGCGGGTTCTGGATGCAAAAACAAAAGGACAAGCATAGCAATACATAGCCGACACATCGTCCCCTGCTTATGTTTGGCTATGTTTGAATATTCCCGTGTGGATGCCATGATAATGGACACTCCAACAATCCGATCATTGAATTATAAATGTGTTTCACATGACGGAACAAAAGGTTCTAAACATGTTTCTAACGTGTTGTTTACATGTTTACAACTTGGTTAACACATGTTTCAGACATCCTGAAAGTATTTGTCAACCCGCTTCCTCTCCGTTGATCGACCTCCTCAAGCATTCCCCCTCCAGAATGACACGCCCGACTTGACCCAAGCCCCGAGAACTTGCCCAAGAGGAGGCCGAAGATCGAGGAGCAGGTGGCACGAGGCGAGGGGGCCCTTCCGAAGGACGCGGGCCCTGGGACGCGGAGCTGTGCCCCACAACCCTCCGCGAAAAGAAGGAGGAGGCGGCGGAGGAGGCGGGGGAGGAGGAGGAGGAGGAGGAAGAGGAGGAGGAGGAGGAGGAGGAGGAGGAAGAGGAGGAGGAGGAGGAGGAGCGCTCAGTGTAAACCCAAGAGTCCTCAATGATGTTGGAATCCACCCTCTTTCTAAGCTCCCTCTTCAAAGGCCCCTGCAGCGGTTCATTTCCATTGGGGGAACTGCATCGTTGGAGGATACCCGTTTGAAGACCTTGAAACATGCCAAAACGTTGTTGTCGGGATTTCCACGCCACGGACCAATGTGACTGATGTGCCCTTGACGGTACGTCATCGCTGCAGAACACCATTTGGGGGACTTCAACACCGTGAATCAATATAACTGTTTCGCCCGCATAATCCTGAATCCTTCCACCAAAACGCCATGTCTGGTACGCTGGTCATGGGAGTCCGTGAAACTTCTGCAAGCTTTAAAAGCAAGCTTGCGCGGCGTTAAGGCGAAAACCACATGTTGAAAACAACGCCCTCCATCCGTGAAGCTCTTGCAAGTTGTTACAACGAAAGTGCGCGGCGCTAGGGCGATAACCACAATTTGATAACGACCGACCCACAATCCGAGAAACTCTTGCAAATGATTAAAACGAATGTACGCGGCGCTAAAACAAGAATCACGTTTTGAAAACCACCCGCCCTTAATCCGTGAAGCTCATGTAAATGTTTAGAACATGTGCGCGGCGCTGAGGTGGGAACCACGTTTTGAAAACCAACCGCCCTCGATCCGTGAAGCTCTTGCAAATTGTTACAACGAATGTGCGCGGCGCTATAGCGAAAAACACATGTTGAAAACTACCCGCCCTCAATCCGGGAAACTCTTGCACATGTTTAAAAAGAATGTGCGCGGCGCTAAGACGAGAACCACGTGTTGACCTCCCGCCCTCAATCGGCGAAACTCTTGCAAATGTTAAAAAAAACGAATATGCGCGGCGCTAAGGCGAGAGCCACATTAAAAAAACGATCTGCCCTCCACATGTGAAGCTGTTGCCATACTTCAAGCTTCAATACCATAAATGGTGAGGAGGTCTCAGGCGAAAAGCCTGGCCCACTCTAAAATCTGGCCTCGGGGTGCGACAGGGAGAAATGATTCAGAAGGACAAGGAATGGAGGAGGAGGAGGAGGAGGAGGAAGAGGAGGAGGAGAAGGAGGAGGAGGAGGAGGGGGAGGGGGAGGGAGGAAACACCTCGGTCTCTTTCTCCCTCCTTCCTCCTTCCTCCACTTTCCGACACGACCGCGAACGTCCAAGAAACGTCCTCGATCGGTCTCGGAGCCCGGATGTCAGGGAGGATCGGGTGCGGGCCCCTGGTGGTGACCCTCCATGGCACTGCCCGACAGATGGGATAGTCATCCCCCTCGCCACCAATTTCAGCGTTCGGTTGCGCGCGCGGCGCGGTGCGCAGACGCCGACGGAACACTGGAAGTCAGGCGTTTCGGCAGCAGCGCTGAAACATCTGGGGGTCTGGGGGCGCCGACGCGGCGCGGGGCGGCTTGCGTTACGTCGGGCATGTCCCCCTGTAAGCGGATTCTGGACGAAGTCTAAACAATAGTCAAAAACTGATTCCAAAATAGCCAGAAAGAGGCAACAAAAAGACATCCCCAGACTATGATTGGACTATGTCGGAAGACTCCTCCTGTAGAGGCACGGGCCCGACTTCAGGCTTGCGTGACGTTTCGCGGAGGGGTGCAGGACCATCGTCTCGCCCTACAGGGGCCGTCTGCCGACGAGGTCTAAAACAGGGCTAGGATCGGGATAAATCGCTCCAGAGCGTCCCGGAGCGTTCTCAGAGCTTTCCGGGAACGCTCTGGAGCGGCCGCGGCGCCCAAAATACGTCCTCCCAAACCCGCCGATTCTCAGAGATTTCGAGCTATCCCGATCCGATTTTGTCCCGATCTTCGCGTCGTTTTCAGGTCCCGGGGGGCCCGCGGACGGCTCAAGCGGGTAAAGTGGATTGGGTCCGGGTCCCCCCAGGGAATAACAGAACACAGCAAAAGCGTGCCGATTCTTGAAGTAGGAAGGCGCTTGAAGTAGATTGGGATCTGGGAATCCAAAAACGCCCACTTTCAACGACCGGCGTGTACAGGGGCCGTCTGCCGACGAGGTCCTGGGGGGCCCGCGGAGGGCCCCAAGGGAGCCCAGCCAGCGGCGGGCAAGAGGCAAGACTTGTTGCTGACGCCAGGGCCCGCGCGGGGAGAGCCGACGCCGCGGGACAATGGGGCGCCGAGCAGCTGGCCATCGCTCGGACGTCCACTCCCTGTGCTTTTCGTCGGTTTCGTGCGTGGATTTTTTGTGTCGGCAAATGATCAAGGATGCTCCTCGATGGTCCTCGCCGAGGAAGAAGCGCACACGTCCGAGCGATGCCGGGAAGGGCAAGGGCCCTACGCGAGGTGGCATAGCGACCTTGCGCGGCAGCTTCCGATGGGCCGCCAGCGCGGCCCACCACGTCGAAAGTCAGGGCACCCACGCGCGACCTTACGCGGGCATCTGGCGCGCCAGTGTCGGCGCAAGCGACCTCGTTTTTCTGCGTCGCTCACTCGAAGAACGTCGCGAGAAAACTCAATCGGATACCCAATCCCTCTGCGGCATTTTTCGAGCTGGATCGATCTGCGATGGTCCCCGGGCGAACACGCCTGGTGCGAGAAAAAAGCAACGTCCAAACCTCAATGCGCTTGCCCCGTGGCGAAAACGCGCCGTAAGACTGAACTCATATATCCGATGTCTTGGTTATTCCAATGCGGGGTCCCTGGAAGTCCCGACCCGTTCCCCAAGGCTGGTCTTGCATCCCGAATTGTTCTTTGACGGCTCTGGGGCACAGCGAGGGCACCCATAGTCCGAAAACGGCCAAAAAACCTCTAGTCGTTTTTTTCAAGACGCCAGAGGTATGGGAACACGAAAGGGTAGGATAGCAAAGGGCAGGATCAAGAATCAGATCACGTGGCTGGTTTTCCTGGCGCCTCCTGGCACTAGACGGCGCCCAAGTATCCAGGGATGGGCCCAGCGGCCGGGTGGAAACCAGCCGCATGCAACAAATTTCGTACCCCCCTCTTTACCTATCCTACCCTTTCGTCCGGCCTGAAGATCACATCAACCAAAGGTCTGCTTTTGTTGGCGCCGGTCCGACCCGTGGCGGCCGCAGCGTCGAACGCAATGTCCGCGTCCTTCGGTCCGCAGCGCTCCTGAGGGTGAACGGTACGGGGGGGACCAGCTCGGGGGACTTGCCATCGCTCGGACGTCCATTCCCCGCACATGTTTCGGCTTCGTGCGTGTATTTTTCCGGAAGATGATGCAGGATGCTCATCAATGGTCCTCGCCGAGGAAAGAAACAAAAAAAACGCCCGAGCGATGCCAAGGGAAGGGGGAAGCATCGACCTGAAATCGGAAATACGTTGCCAACAGATCGGGGATAAACTCCGACGGCGGTATCGCACGTTCCTGGGCGGCGTGGGGCTGTCGCCCGGGCTGTCGCGCCCCCCCCAGGAGCCCACCCGCCGAGAGCCCCGGAAATTCCTCCTCAGAGGCCCCCGAGGGTCGTCCGAAGAGACCCCAAGAAGCATCCCTGAGGACTCTGGCGCACGTCAGCGCCGCCGCCGCCGCCGCCGCCGCCGTCGTCGTCGTCGTCGTCGCCGTCGTCGGCACCCTGGAGGCAAGCAGGGTGCTTCTTGGCATTGGGCCTCCACTGTACGACGCGCGTGAGCGAACAACCTCTCGAACTTCTTGCCACCTTGGCAGGCTAAGCGGGAGGAGGCGGTGCTACGCTCGGGCGTTGGCAGAACTGGGTTTAGTGCGACCTGGTTTAGTGATGTGTACCGGGGGACGCCCCCCCGCCCCGCTCCACTAGTCGGATCTGCCGTCGCCCGAAAAAACACCAGCTACGGCAGACATGGTTTAGTGCTTTTGGCCAATTCAGGTGCTCCGGGGCCTTACCACTAACCGGGTCCCCTCATCCGGGGTCCTGGCTATACCCGATGCGCACAAGTTTTGGGGAAGCCCCGCGGGCTCAGAGCATCAGACCTGCAGGCGCTGGCAAGGCAGTCCCCTCCCACCTCCACCTCGGCTGCGCCCTGGAGAGCCCTCGCCGCCACGGCCCGAGTCGGCCACACAACCAGGCCGCTGAAGCAAGGAGCGCCCAGAGAAGGAGAGACGCCTCTCGCCATCGCTCGGACGTCCATTCCCTGTGTTTTTTTTGCGGTTTCGTGCGTGGCTTTTTCGCAGGATGATCTAGGATGCTCCTTAATAATCCCCGCCGAGACAAAATGCACACGCCCGAGGGATGCACAGGCCTTGCTGAGAGGGCACAACATCCCCCCCCCCCAGAGCGAGCACCCCGACAGGCGAAGCCGTCCAGGAAAACGCACCCGAGGAGGGAATCGAAGGGGGCGGGGCTGTTGCGTCCCCGCCCAGAGCCGTTCAGCAAGCGCCACCTGTCGGGGTCTTGGCGTCTGTCTTGCTTCCCTCATGTTGTTTTGGCACCAGAATAGCATGAAGGGGCCCTGGGACACACAAATAAATACACACAAATAAAAATATTCCCCATTTTTTCCCATGGCCCATATGTTCGGTTTTTTTGTCTTCCCCACCACTTCCCATATTTTCCCATATTTTCTGGGGAGGCGACGATTCATTGTGTCTGTGTGTTCCTCTCCTGATAGCAGGGGTGTACGACCAACAAAACGGCAGCCCAGTGGCCCAAACGCATGGGCGCGACGGCCAGCGTTCACAGCCTGCGAAAACGTGTTTTGAAACGTTCACAACATACCACAGAAGTAAAACGGAAACAAATGGGACATAATAGGAACACGGTGTTTGGGTTTAGGTCGGGCCTGTCCCCCTACAGGGAGATTTTTGGCGAAAAATAAAATACTCAAACACTGCTCAAAAGATGCAAACAAATAATCAAAACATTGTCCCCACACTGAATTGTTAACGGTTTTTGAATCTACTCCATGTAGAGGGTGCGGGACGGGAAAATGACCACAGCCACTGCTTCTTGTTTGCGCCGCCTTCCAGCCGGCCGAAAAAACGCAGTGGTTGTGGTCATTTCCCTGGTGCCAAGCTCAACGAAAATGACCACAGCCACTGCTTTGTTTCTGCGGGCTGGAAGGCGGCAACAAAAGACAAGCAGTGGCTGTGGTCGTTTTCACGCCCCGTAGAGGGACAGGCCCGACTTAAGTTTAGGTTCAGCCCTGGTTTGCGAAGCGGGTGTTTGAGGCGCAGCCGCGGCACGACCTCAGGAGCAGCGGGCCCCTCCCCAGCCGTCACGGCGGCCCTCCTCTCGGCGCCTTTACCACCAACCGCTGCGGGGAACCCTTCGGGGAACACTTTGGGGGAGGAAGGCGGGGAAGGTCAGGAGGGTCGGGCCGGACGAGAGGGGGGGGAGTGGGAGCGGGGGGGGGTGCGAACTCTGCCGCACGCAGCTGGTGTCGGCCCCACCGAGGGGGGTCCATTCCTCGATACATGGCCGCCTCCGGCGCCGAGAGGCGCCAGGGAAATCAGCTACGCGAGCTGATTTTCAAAACTCCCCTTTGCAATTCCCCCCTTTCGCTTGGCCCGAGAGGAGGAGAGCAGCGGAGAGCAGCGGCAGGACGTCGCGTCGGCCAGGCCAACTAGACGCAGCACAGGCGGCCAGGGGGCCGCAGCCTCAGGGGAGGCCAGTGATGCCGATCACGTCGACGGACGCGAAGGGCGGCGCGCTGGGGCCAGACCGCCGCGCAGCGCCTTGCGGCGAGCCGCTGGGGCCAGAACGCCACGCAGCGGCTGCCCGTGCCAGGAGAGGCCGACCTTCAACCACTTCTCCGTCGCCTCCTGCGTCCCGCATTCCACGGCACCGAAGGCGCTCTGAGCGGGCCAATGGGCGGTGGCTGCCCTTCCCGCCGCAGCTCGGCCAGCCACGTCCGCAGGCACACGTAGTCGTAGCGCCGCATGCAGTCCGACACGATCCTCTGCGACCGCGTCAGCGTGTGGCGCCACCTGTAGTAGGCCCGCCTCGCGGGCATGCCAGTCCCCCAGGCCCGCTCGCAGATCTCCTCGGCCATCTCCTCGGCCGCCCTCCCACGCGCCCGCAGCCTGGTGGCGAAGCGCGGCTGGGACAGGATCTGCGTGACGTAGCCGACGCAGTGGTCGAGCCACTCGCTGTAGCACTCCATCGTCTCGCCGACCTCGGGAGCCTGGGTCCAGTACCGCGCCCATCCAGCGACCTGCAGCTCAAGCCTGGGCGCGACGCTGCGCCTCGGCTGCGCTGGCTCAGGCCGAGCCACCGCAACTCTGCCAGCACTCAGGGCGGGGCCGCACACACGGTCGGCACTTGCAGGTCCCCTGCCACCCCTGGTGCTGGCCATGCACATGCCGTCGCGGTCCGCGTCGCTTCCTGGGCTCAGGGCGGGGCCGCACTCACGCACGCACATTGCAGGTCCCCTGCCACCCCTGGCCCAGGCCGTAATCCGTCGCCGCTCGGGGTGGGTGCTGGTGCTCAGGGCGGGGCCGCACTCAGGACCGCAAACTGCAGGTCCCCTGCCACCCCTGGCACCAGCCGTAGCTGCACGTGGACACGCCTCCCCAGAAGCCAGCTGCGGCTGCCGCTGGTCCTCCTCAGGCGACGCCGCTTCCAGAGACCCGCTGCCAGTGCCCAGGGCGGGGCCGCACACAGGACTGCACTTTGCAGGTCCCCTGCCACCCCTGGCGCTGGCCATACCCTTGCCGTCGCGGTCCTCGTCGCATCCTGGGCTCAGGGCGGGGCCGCACTCACGCGCGCACATTGCAGGTCCCCTGCCACCCCTGGCCCAGGCCGTAAATCGTCGCCGCACGCGGTGGGCCTGGCTGCCGTCGCCGCCAGTGCCCAAGGTGGGGCCGCACTCAGGGTCGCGGCTTGCAGGCCTCCTGCCACCCTTGTCACTGGCCATGCCTGGCAGCGCCCGCTGCGAGTTGTCAGACCTGCCAGCACTCAGGGCGGGGCCGCATTCGCGACCGCACTTTGCAGGTCCCCTGCCACCCCTGGTGCTGGCCATATCGGTAGTCGAGAACGGCTGCGGCGGGCTGCTCATGTCCTGAGGGCTGGTCACGGCGCCCTCCTGGTGGTCCGTGGTCAGCGTCACCTCGTGTGCCAGGCCACACCTCAAGGGCGCAGGCAGCCGCGACGTCCCCGCCGCCAGACAGGCATCGACCACCCCCACGTCTGGGGCAGCTGGCGGCGGCTGGAGCGTCACCAGTCCAGTGGTGCCCCCGTCGGGGCATTGGTGCGCTCCATAGGCCGAGGGCAAGCTGCCGTCGGCCATGTCTCCCTCATCACGCTGCGCGCCGCTGGCGGCTGCTGGACCACGTTCGGCTAGCAGATGCTGCTGCCTTCGCTGCATCCGTTCCAGGAGCTCCTGCCGTCGCACCCGCCAAGCAGGCTTCTTGGTCTGGACTGCGTCGGAACCTCCAGCCCCTGCAGGCACCTCGCGCGTCTCGTGGTCCTGGCCAGGCCTGGTCGCCTCGCCCTGTTCCTTCTGCGCGTGCCTGCCGCTTGGCCGCTCTGCAGCGCCGTCGCCCCCAGAGGCCATGTCGCCCGCGGCCGCGCTGGCCGCCGCTGTGGCCCATGTTCTGGGGCCGTCTGGAGCCTCGCCTGCACCTCCCCAAGTGAGCACCTTTCCTGTCTTGGGGTGCAGCCCTTGGCTGAGCTTCTTGAGCCGCGCCCTGAGGTTGGACAGGTAGGTGCGCTGGTTCTTGCCCTCGGCGCTGGGCGGGCCAGCGCAGGGCGCAGCCAGGGCCAGTGAGGAGCCTGTCGCCGCCCACGCCACGCATACCTCGCAGTAGATGGTGGGCCCTGCGCGCCTCAGCCTGTGCCCCTGCATCTCGATGGTGCCGTCCCCTGAGCCCCAGGGGGCAGGCTCGGCTGGCCTGGGCCCCGCATCTTCGGGGCACGCCGCGCGCTCGATCGCCTGCATAGCGAACTCGCCCGCCTCCGAGACCACAATGGGCTGCGCGCCGACGTGCGCGATGATGGCTTCGGCCCGCAGCGCGGTGTACTGGCTGGCCTCGCAAGCTGAACGCGCGAACTGCGTCCATGTGGGCCCCGTCTGCCCGCTGGTCTGCCTGCAGCAAGCGCGGCACAGCACCACCGCCGTCCCGTTCAGGCGAACCAGGGAGTGGCTGATCACAGTCGCCGCCTGCACCTTGGGCACCTTTGGCGGGCGGGCTGTCTGCTCGGGCGCATCCCGGCGGCCTGCGTGCATCGTCCTCTGCATCGCCCAGCCGACGTACTTTGCCAGGCTCTTGTAGTGTTACAGCTCGATGTTGTAGAACTCCTCGTACACCTTCGACACGGTGTGCTGCATGGCTCCTTGCCGAGCGAACCAGTCGGCCCACATGTTGCCAGAGTACAGCAGCGGGTGGAGGCCTCGGTCCAAGTACGCATCCATGTCCTGATGCGCGGGGATCCATCTCACTTCAGGCCGCGCTGGCTGGGCACGAATCCGTCTCCACACTGTGGCATGTGCCGCTCGCGCCTCCTCTAGCTCCTGCCCCCAGTGGCTGCATTCCTTCTCCATCGACAGAAGGTCGGTGAAGACGAACTCGAGCTGCGGCCCCGCGAGCCGCAATGCCTGCAGCAGCGCGTGCCTCTCCGCGCGCCCGACCGTCTGGAGCGGCCCTGGCAGCGCCCCGAACGCCGCCCGAACAGGCAGTCCCTGGAGGGAAAGCTGCACGAAGGCCCATCCGCAGCGCCTCAGCTCGGGCATGCTGGACGCGAAGCCTGAGCCATCGGTGAAGACGGCGTTGCTGCAGGAAGCCGTGTCCGCCCCTTGGCTAGGCCAGCAGCCCCAGAACTTCACCTCGGCCTGCTCCGCGGCGGGCGGCACGAATGGCGGCATGCAGGGCAAGCACATTTGGAAGTCGGCGCTCTCGAAGCTGCCGCCCTCCTGCAGGCCTTTGTCGCACATGAAGGTGCGGATGGCCTGCATCGGCTCGGGCGGCAGCTGCTCGTCCTGCTCCTCCTCTGTGAGCGGCTGCACGAGTACCTCGCAGCCGAAAAATCTGTGCCCAGGCGAGTCGGACGGATGTCCGCAGGCCCTGCAATTCGGCGCCGCCGCCAGCCCAAGGTCGTGCTGGGCCTGTTGCGTCCAGGCCACCGTCGCCCAGTGGTGACGCAGGCTGGTGGCCGACGGGCCCTCCGCCAACGCCGCGCGCCCGTCGCCCACGCAGAGCCGCATGGCCCGCACCCAAGGCTTGACCTCGCCGTGCTGGCGGTGGTGCGCCGCGATCTGCCTCGCCTGCCAGCGTTGCACGCCGCCGGTCAGATGCATCCTGACGTCCTTCGGGCACGTGGTGAGGAGGTTGATCGCCGTATCCTGGTCGGTGACCAGGGTCGTGCTGGAGTACATGTGCCATCCGATGCGCCAGAGCGTCAGCGTGACGGAGGCGATGGGACCGCGAGCCCCTGCCCAGGACGGGCGCCCCACGAGCCGCTCCGTGACCTTGGCCCAGGCCCTGTGGAGCCTAGCCAGGGAGGTGCGTTGTTCCCAGATCCAGCTGGCGCCCGAGAGGAGGAGGAGGAGGAGGAGGAGGAGGAGGAGGAGGAGGAGGAGGAGGAGGAGGAGGAGGAGGAAGAGGAGGAGGAGGAGGAGGAGGAGGAAGGAGGAGGGGGGAGGAGGAGGGAGGAGGAGGAGGAGGAGGAGGGGGGGGGGGGAGGGGGAGGATGGGGAGGGAGGAGGAGGAGGCCCCCCGAGGGCGAGACCGCGAGCTCCTGGGCGGCGGGATGTGGAGGTGGGGGGGGGGGGGGGCCCGGGGCCGGTCGGGCCGCACCGGCGAGGGCCTTTCCCCCTCCCCCTCTCCTCCTCCTCCCCTCCTCCCCCTCCTTCTCCTCCTCCTCCTCTCCTCCTCCTCCTCCTCCTCTTCCTCCTCCTCCTCCTCCTCTCGGGCCGTGCGAAAGGGGGGAATAGCGAAGGGGGTGTGGGTCGCTGCGTTCGCCCCTCCCGGCGTTGCAGTGCGGGCGCGGCCGCAAGAAACCCTTGCAAGAAACCCAACCCTGAGAACCCGAGGCACGAGGTGCACCTGATGGGGAAACCCGAGGCACCCTGAACGCAGCAACTCTTTCAACGGCTGCGGGAAGTCGCCGCGCAGCGCGAGGAGCGAAGAAACCCAGGACACCCTGACGAAAAGCATATGGTTTCTTGATGCGCGCCCCCACTGTAGATTTAGGGAAGGCGTGTCTGAGGAGGCCCTGGGACACGCAAGTAAATACACACAAATTGCATGATTCCCCATATTTTCCAGTATCTTCTGGGTATTCGTCTTCCCCCCCACTTCCCATACGTTCCCATGTTTTCCTGGGGTGTCTGTGTGTTTGTTCCCCTCCTGAGCGTCCTCCTCCAGGCGGATGCTGCACCAAAAATGACATAGTCAGACAAAAATGCCCCCAAATCCTCAAAGATGATAGGGACATCGTTCCCAGAGTATCTTTTACCATCTTCTGATTTTCCTGCTGTAGAGGGGCACGCCCGACTTGACGTTGGGTGCTGGTTCTGGCGACCTTCCTGGACCCACTCGCTGCACGCACGTGTCGATGCCGCCGGGCTTGGACGGGTGCTCCCCCCCTCTGTCGACGCTGCGTCGAACGCCGGTCGACGCGAGCCGGACTTGAGTTGAAATTGAGCCGAACTAGCATCGAACTAAAGCCGAACCATATTCGAGCTCGAGCCGAACAGAGCCGTCAGACTGGCCCCAGGAGGGCCCCCAAACGAACAACCAATCGGCCGGTCGCGCCCCGCCTTGCCTCACGCCGGCCGCCAGTGGGCTGGCCGACCGTCTACTAACCACTGACTGGGGGGAGGGGCTGATGACTTATAATAGCTTCGTGTCGTGACGGACTCTGGTGGTGGTCTCTGGCACCACGTGCATCGTGCGCGCCCCAGGAAGGCCCCCAAAACAGATATCTAATCAATTAATCCCCCCCTGGTGGTGTTCGTGCCGTCACTCGGGCCTGCGGCGGCTGCTCGGGACGATCTGGGCCCCCCTGGAACGCTCTCGGCAGGGAGAAGCCGCTGGGAAGCATCCCGAGGCTGGCTGGAGAACCGCCGAGAACTGACAACGTCGCGCGAAGACATTTAACCGCGAAGACCTCGAACCTCTCACGTCATCTGTAGAGGCCTCCTAGATTGGGTCCGAGTAGATGGGGTCGGAGGATCGCGCCGCATCGGCGATGCATCCGGCGCCGTCGGCGTGGAGAGACTCGGGCTCCGCATCGAGCCGCATATCGGCGATGCAGCGCGACCCTCCGAGCACATCTGCTCGAGCCCCATCTGTGAGGCTTTGACATCTATCGGCGACTCGGGGGCGTGGTCTGCGAGTGGTGCCGCTTGCAACCCGCACCCGAGGGGGCGAGCGAGGACACCGACGGAATTCTCCGCCGCGCCCTGGCGAGGGCAACGGGGCGCTCCCCGAGCCTCCACGGCGCAGATCGCAAGCCATACCCAAGCGTGACCATGCCCTGTCATTAGGGGGCAAGCAGACCTACCTCGCTCTTGACCACCCTCGCTTCCAAGAGACACCAATCGGTGCCAAACTGCGGCCTGCACTGGTCAGGCCGCTGGACGGGGAGGCGCGTGGCATGACTTGGTTTTGCCTGGAAGCGAAAGCGGGGTGGGTAATTCACGCTCTGATAATCGACTTCCACAACCACAGGGCTCCCTCCCGTGTGCAGGGCACGGAGATCGATACAGTGGAGGCCAGTCCACAGGAGACCCTCCAGAAGAAGCCCAACCCTGAGACCCCGGGGCGCCCATGGACTTTTTGGTGTGGGGGCGTCGCGCTTTCCGCCGCAAGAACATCGCTCTGAGTCATGGCCGAGCATGTCGGTGCCCGCGAGCGCTCCAGGTACTCCGCGCTCACGCGCGCGACCAGGCGGCCGCCGCGCTCGCAGCCGGGCGCGGACAGGCCCACGAAGCTGGCGCTCCTGCCGCGCGCGGGCGCCGCGGGCACGGGTGCCCGCGCTCCCATGCTCGATGTCAGACGCTCGGTCCTCCTCCCTGCTCGCCCTCGCCCTCCCCGCCCTGGTCGATCCCCGATCCTACTCCTCCTCGATCCTACTCCTCCTCGATCCTCCTCCTCTTCCTCCTCCTCCTCCTCCTCCTCCTCCTCCTCTTTCTCCCCCTGCTCTTCCCTCCCCTCCTCCTCCTCCCCGTCCCCCTCCTCCCCCTCCTCCTCCTCCTCCTCCTCCTCCTCCCTCCTCCTCCTCCTCCTCCTCCTCCTCCTCCTCCGCCTCCTCCTCCCCCCTCCCCTCCTCCTCCTCCTCCTCCTCCTCCTCACCTCCTCCTCCTCCTCCTCCTCCCCCTCTTCCCCCACCTCCCCCTCCTCCTCCTCATCCTCCTCCTCCTCCCTCCTCCTCCTCCTCCTCCGCTCCTCCTCCCCCTCCCCCTCCTCCTCCTCCTCCCCTCCTCCTACTCCTCCTCTCCTCCTCCCCTCCTCCTCCTCCTCCTCCTCCTCCTCCTCCTCCCTCAGGATCCCCCCCTCCTTACTCAGGGTTCCTGCCCCTCCTCTCTCAGGGTTCTTCCTCCGCCCTCCTGCCTGCTTCTGCCTCCTCTCCCTCCCTTCTCCTCCGCGGTCGTCGTCGTCATCGCGGTCGCCGACGCGGCCGCAATCGCCGTCGCGGCCGCCCTGGCCGCCGCCGCCCGCGGTGGCCGTCCTGCCGCACAGGGCCACGAGCGCGGCCGCGAGCAGGCAGGCCGGGGCGGAGCGCCGGGCGGCCAT